TATTGTAAATAATGCTGCGATGAACATAGGGTGCAACGGACTCTTGAGATATCTGATATCAGGTTCTTAGGATAGATACCCAGTAATGGGATGGCTGGGTCATAGGGTATTTCTATTTTTAACTTTTTGAGAAATCTCCATACTGTTTTCCATAGTGGCTGTACCAGTTTGCATTCCCACCAACAGTGTATGAGGGTTCCTCTTTCTCACAACCTCTCCAACATTTGTCGTTCTTGGTTTTGGATGTTTTTGCCAATCTAACGGGGGTAAGGTGATATCTTAGTGTAGTTTTGATTTGCATTTCCCTGATGATTAGCGATGATGAACATCTTTCATGTGTCTATTGGCCATATTCATATCTTCTTTTGAGAAATGTCTGTTCATGTCCTCTGCCCATTTTTTGATCGGGTTGTTTGTTTTTTTTGTTGTTAAGCAGTGTGAGTTCTTTGTATATTATGGAGATTAACCCTTTGTCGGATAAGTGGCTTGTAAATATTTTTCCCAATTAGTGAGCTGTTTTTTGTTTCAATCCTGTTTTCCCTTGCCTTGAAGAAGCTCTTAGTCTGATGAAGTCCCATTTGTTTATTCTTTCTATTGTTTCCCTCAACTGAGGATTACAGTGTCCGAAAAGATTCTTTTGAAACTGATGTCAAAGAGTGACTGCCTATATTCTCTTCCAAAAGACTTATTGTCTCAGGCCTAATCTTTAGGTCTTTGATCCATTTTGAGTTTATTTTGGTGTGTGTGAAAAAGAATGGTCAATTTTCAATCTTTTGCATGTGCTGTCCAGTTTTCCCAGCACCATTTGTTGAGAGCTTTCTTTTCTCCATTGTAGGCCCTCTGCTCCTTTGTCGAAGATTAGCTGTCCATAGATGTGTGGTTTTATCTCTGGGCTTTCAATTCTGTCCATTGATCTGTGGACCTGTTTTGTACCAGTACATGCTGTTTTGATCACTGTAGCTTGTAGTATGTTTTGAAATCGGGGATTGTGATTCCGCCGGCTTTGTTTTTCTTGCTCAGGATTGCTTTAGCAATTCGCGGTCTTTTGTTCCCCATATGAATTTTAGGATGTTTGTTCAATTTCTGTGAAGAATGTTCTTGGGATTCTGATTGGGATAGCATTGAATCTGTATATTGCTTTAGGTAGTATGGACATTTTAACTATGTTTATTCTTCCAATCCATGTGCAAGGAATGTCTTTCCATCTCTTTATGTCATCGCTTTCTTTCAAGAAAGTCTTGTAGTTTTCATTGTATAGATCCTTCACTTCCTTGGTTAAGTTTATCCCAAGGTATTTTATTCTTTCGTTGCGTTGTGAATGGGATAGAGTTCTTGAGTTCTTCTGTTAGTTTATTGTTAGTGTATAGAAATGCTACTGATTTATGCACGTTAATTTTATACCCTGCTACTTTGCTGTAGTTGTTGATTATTTCTAATAGTTTTCTGTGGATTCTTTGGGGTTTCTATGTATAAGATCATGTCGTCTGCAACGAGAGTTTTACTTCTTCGTTACCTATTTGGATTCCTTTTATTTCTTTTTCCTGCCGAATTGCTCTGGCCAGCACCTCCAGAACTATGTGTAGGAGTGGTGAAAGTGGCACCCTTGTCTTGTTCCTGTCCTCAGAGGGATGGCTTTCAGCTTTTGTCCATTGAGTATGATGTTGGCTGTGGGTCTATCATATATGGCCTTTATTATGTTGAGGTACTTTCCTTCTATACCCATTTTACTGAGGGTTTTTATCATAAATGGGTGTTGGATCTTGTCGAATGCTTTCTCTGCATCTATTGAGATGATCATGTGGTTTTTGTTTTCATTTTGTTGATGTAGTGTATCACGTTGATTGACTTGCGGATGTTGAACCATCCCTGTGTCCCTGGTATAAATCCCACTTGATCATGGTGTATAATCTTTTTGATGTATTGCTGTAATCGGTTTGCCAAAATTTTGTTGAGGATTTTTGCATCTATGTTCATCAGTGATATCGGCCTGTAGTTCTCCTTCTTTGTGTTGTCCTTGTCAGGTTTGGGGATCAGAGTGATGTTGGCTTCATAGAATGTGTAGGGAGTTCTCCATCTTTCTCAATTTTCTGGAACAGTTTGAGGAGAATAGGTATTAAGTCTTCTTTGAATGTTTGGTAGAATTCTCCGGAGAAGCCGTCTGGTCCTGGACTCTTGTTTTTGGGGAGGTTTTTGATTACCGTTTCTATTTCCTTACTTGTGATTGGTCTATTCAGATTCTCCATTTCTTCCTGATTAGTTTGGGGAGATTGTAGGAGTCTAGGAATTTGTCCATTTCTTCCAGGTTGTTCAATTTGTTGGCATATAGTTTTTCATAGTATTCTCTTATGATCTCTTGTATTTCATTGGTATCTGTTGTGATTTCTCCTCTGTCATTCCTGAATTTTATTAATTTGCGATTTCTCTCTTCTTTTCTTGGTGAGTCTGGCTAGGGTTTGTCAATTTGTTAATTCTTTCGAAGAACCAACTCTTTGTTCATTGATCCTTTCTATTGTCTTTTTTGTTTCAATATCGTTTATTTCTGCTCTTATTTTATTATTTCCCTCCTTCTACTGACTCTGGGCCTTGTTTGTTCTTCTTTTTCTAGTTCTGTTAGGTGTCGTTTGAGGTTGCTTAGTGAGCTTTTTCTTGTTTAGTGAGGTGAGCCTGTATTGCGATGAATTTCCTCTTAGGACTGCTTTTGCTGCATCCCAAATGATTTGGTATGTCGTGTTCTCATTTTCATTTGTCTCCAGATAATATTTGATTTCTTCTTTAATTTCTTCAATGATCCATTGTTTGTTGAGAAGCGTGTTGTTTAGTCTCCACATTTTTGCACCTTCTCTGCTTTTTTCTTGTAGTTGATTTCTAGTTTAATAGCGTTATGATCAGAAAAGATGCTTGATATTATTTCAACTCTCTTGTATTTATTGATGTTTGCTTTGGTTCCCAAAATATGGTCAATCCTTGAGAATGTTCCATGTGCACTTGAGAAGAATGTGAACCTGCTGTTTTTGGATGAATGTTCTATATATATCTATTAAGTCCATCTGGTCTAATTTTTCATTTAATTCTATTATTTCCTTGTTGATTTTCTGTCTGGATTTCTGTCCATTGGTGTTAATGGTGTGTTGAGGTCCCCTACTATTATTGTATTGTTGTTGATGTCTTCTTTTAGTTCTATTAAAGCCCTCTGCTAATGGCAGACAGAGAGTTTGTCTGCTGCCTGGCGGAGCTCCGGCGCTTCCCCTCCGGGTCGCCGGACCCGCCTTTGAAAGTTCCCCCGCCCCGGTCCTCTCCGAGATCTCCGGCAATCCCTAGTCCCCCAGGGCGGGCAACGGCAGCTGGGGGTCGCCCCGCCCTCTGGGCTTCTCTCCGGGCCTCTGCCGGGAGCCCTGAATGCTCAGCGTGGCCCCTCTGCTACCGGCAGACAGAGAGTTTTGTCTGCTGCCTGGCGGAGCTCCGGCGCTTCCCCACCGGGTCGCCGGATGCGCCTTTGAAAGTTCCCCCGCCCCGGTCCTCTCCGAGATCTCCGGCAATCCCTAGTCCCCCGGGGCGGGCAATGGCAGCTGGGGGTCGCCCCGCCCTCTGGGCTTCTCTCCGGGCCTCTGCCAGGAGCCCTGAGTGCTCAGCGTGGCCCCTCTGCTACTGGCAGACAGAGAGTTTTGTCTGCTGCCTGGCGGAGCTCCGGCGCTTCCCCACCGGGTCGCCGGATGCGCCTTTGAAAGTTCCCCCGCCCCGGTCCTCTCCGAGATCTCCGGCAATCCCTAGTCCCCCGGGGCGGGCAATGGCAGCTGGGGGTCGCCCCGCCCTCTGGGCTTCTCTCCGGGCCTCTGCCGGGAGCCCTGAGTGCTCAGCGTGGCCCCTCTGCTACTGGCAGACAGAGAGTTTTGTCTGCTGCCTGGCGGAGCTCCGGCGCTTCCCCACCGGGTCGCCGGATGCGCCTTTGAAAGTCCCCCCGCCCCGGTCCTCTCCGAGATCTCCGGCAATCCCTAGTCTCCCGGGGCGGGCAACGGCAGCTGGGGGTCGCCCCGCCCTCTGGGCTTCTCTCCGGGCCTCTGCCGGGAGCCCTGAGTGCTCAGCGTGGCCCCTCTGCTACCGGCAGACAGAGAGTTTTGTCTGCTGCCTGGGGGAGCTCCGGCACTTCCCCTCCGGGTCGCCGATCCGGCCTTTGAAAGTTCCCCCGCCCCGGTCCTCTCCGAGATCTCCGGCAATCCCTAGTCCCACAGGGCGGGCAACGGCAGCTGGGGGTCGCCCCGCCCTCTGGGCTTCTGTCCGGGCCTCTGCCGGGAGCCCTGAGTGCTCAGCGTGGCCCCTCTGCTACCGGCAGACAGAGAGTTTTGTCTGCTGCCTGGCGGAGCTCCGGCGCTTCCCCTCCGGTCGCCGATCCGGCCTTTGAAAGTTCCCCCGCCCCGGTCCTCTCCGAGATCTCCGGCAATCCCTAGACCCACGGGGCGGGCAATGGCAGCTGGGAGACCTCCGTGCCCTCCGTGTCTCTCTCTGGGACCCTCCGGGCGCCCCGAGCACCAGGCGGGTCTCCCCGCCAATGGCGGGGAGAGACTCTCCCCGCGGGCTCAGGTGTGCAACTCCAAAGTTTCCCTCTGCGTTTAGGAGTAATTGCGGGGGGTTTAGGTAGGGTCTGGTCACCTGTTTCCACCGTCGCTCCTCTGTTGTGTTCTCGCTCCTGCCCTAGATGTGTGTGGATCCTCTGGGGGCGTCCGTTGGAAGAAAGCCGCTTGCGGGTACTAGGCTGCCCGTCGGGGTCGGAGAGTTTTCACCTATTTCTACATCCTCCCGGAGGAAAGTCCGTCCGCCTTCCGATGTATAGTCGCGTGGGTGTCTCAGACGTCCTGAGATGCTGTCTGGATATCCTTTGTCAAGCGATAAGTGTCCAAATAATTGTAGACTCGAAGGGCGAGAGACAAAGAGGACTACTCACGGCGCCATCTTGGAATCCAGAACTTGTTAATCTTACAACTGGAAGTTTGTACCCTTTGACCAATCTCTCTCCTCGTTTCCCCCACCCCCAAGTCCTTGCTCTTGATCTTTCTTATTTGGTATTTATTCCTAGATTCTTTTGTCTCAATTTTAACTGAGATGCTACTATGTGTCAATGTGCCAGGTGTTATAGATGTGGCGGTACACAAAAACAGATATAATTTTTACCCTTATCTAGCTTATGGACTAGGCTTCCTCACCATTTTGGGTTGAAATTTTAATATTTTTATTGTGTTTTTTATTTTTAGAACTTGAAGATAATTTTCCTTGCTGGAGAAAAATAAATTCTATTGTCTGTTAGCAAATTGCTCTCTTCTGCAAGCAATAGGGTCCTTCTCTTCCTGCCTTTTCTTTCCTCATTGCTTACAATATGATGGAAAAGTACTTTATATCATCCTAAGTATTTTTCACAAGTTTCAGCTCATTTTTAATGTAACGTTTTTGACACTGATTTAAAACATATTGTATATACAGGTGTGCATGCTTTTAAACTTTAGAGTGTATCATATGTGTTTTTTTCATTTAATTAAATATATTCTGAAAACATGATATTTAATGTCTGTTTAATAGTCCATCTTATTTAACCATCCCCTATTTTGGGCTATTTGGTTTGAGTCCAATTTTTTTTTTTCGCTTGTTCTTCAATTTTAAATAGTGCTTCTGTGAACATCCTGGTACATAATTCTTTGACTGCGTTTCTAATTATTTCCTTATGCTGTGCTCCAGCCTCCCAATACTGTCCATTTCTTGTGCCCAGGGACTAAGTAGACTGGCTGTTTTTCCTATCCATGTCCAGTGAATGCATTTTTCACTCAGTGATCTTCAGAACTTTTTTGATGACTGACCAGATGGAGTGTTGCTCATCTGTGCCTCAAGATCTTCCACAGTCCCCTCCAACTTTCACTCTTGCAGCAGTCTGGGACATCTGCAAGGCCAGGAGAAGAAAGGTAAGCACTTTCTTGGGTGATGATGGTAGGGGGAGTAAACTCTAGTTCCGTATCCTGGGGCTGTCTGTGTGTGTGTGGGGAGGGGGTGGTATGGGGAGCGCTGGAACGGTGCTGCTTGCTATAGACTGAATTGTGTCCCCTCTAACTCCCCAAATTCATATGTTGAAGCCCCCCAGTGTGATGGTATTTGGAGATGGGCTTTTGGGAGGTAACTAGGTTTAGCTGAGGGCGTGAGGGTGGGGCCATCATGCTGGGATTAGTGCCCTTATAAGAAAAGACAGTAGAGAGCTTGCTTTCCCTCTCTCTCTGCCATGTGAGGACAGCAAGAAGGTGGCCATCTGCAAGCCAGGATGAGGGCTCTCACCAGGAACCCAGCTAACCCACACCTTGATCTTGGACTTCCCAGACTTCAAAACTGGGAAAATCAATTTCTGTTGTTTAAGTCACCCAGTCTATCATATTTTGTTATGGCAGTCCAAGCTGAGTAATATACTGTTGAAGGCAACTAGTTCATGATTTCCTGTGAGTTGGGAAAATGGCAATACGTAGATATTTTAGACTGCTACTGAATATTAGCTTTAAAAAAACCTGACACCCCAAACCCAAAAGCCTAGCCAGCTGTAGTAAAATATTGTGTCTCATTTTTACTAGCATTTCTTTAGTCTTGCTACTTCTTTCTTGTTTCTTCTCCCTTTATGTAGTATTTCACAGATAAGTAAACTATATAAACTATACATGCTTTGTAGCTTCAATTGTTCATTATGGATTTTAACCTATAGTTCAAACCAGGGGAGAATTGATTGATAATCATTTCAAAGAGCATCCTTCTTAAAGGCATGTATCCAGTCGTTTATATGAGTACCTTACTTTTAATCCTTGCTAACTGAAAAAAAATTAAATGTGGGAATATCCCTTTCAGCTCCTCTTTTTGGTTGACTCTTCCTGTTAAGTTATGATATTATAGCTTTTCATTTTTATGAAATTTCTAGAATTTAATGTTTCAGGTTTGATTGCTTTGTGATCAAGGAGTAGGAAGTTGCTTATACTCTCAGTGGGTTGTAAAGAACAAGTAGTTCTATGGAAGCAGGTTTCCGGCATCTTGCGGCACACGGTGTTGTTTGTCCATGTTGACTGCTTTGCCTCATTAGGCATGCTGTTGTAAATGAATTCCTGGATCTAATTCATGCCTGGAAATATGTGTCTTATGTGGCCACTGTGTGTTGCTGGGTTGTGTGAGTTGAGAAATCGGTGGGGCTGTAAGTTTCCCTTTGGAATGTTTGAAGAACCCGCAGGTGCTGTTGAAAGTGAAGGATAGGACTGCGCTCAGGAAACAAAGGTTTTATGACATGTTCTCAAGTAATACGGATATCCAGAGAAAATAAAAAACAAAGCAGTAAAAGTCACACATGTAGTACTATATGCCAACAAGAGAAATGACTGACCAAACAGAGAAGTCCCCAGTGGGTCCCAGCTAGCCTGCGTTTATTTCCTCGTGCTGCTGTGGGTCTTTCAGAGGGGATATCAAACACCCCGACTCACACCAGACAAATATATCCTCCTAGGTTTTGTGTATTCCCCCCATAAATCCAGACTCTATTTTCAAATAAACAGAGTAGACTGTAAAGATAGGAAATTACACCTTGACTGGCATCAGATGATGTATCAGATGCTTGACTAAGTTTCCTCGTTGTCATCATTATCCTCATCTTATTTTAGATTTAAAAATGGGAGGCAACAATGGCCAAATATCACTGGAAATTGTGGCAATTATGTGAGTAAAAAAGTGTATATACCTATACTTATGTATATATATATCTTTTTTTGGGGGGGATGTGATTCCATGAAGAGCTAAGGGTTGATACCAAAGCAGGTGCTCCTAAATTCTTGGGTATTTTGATTGGGTGGAAAAGTCTGATAGACTTAAGATAAAGTAGCAGGCTACCATAGTAGCATGAGTAGGACAGTCTACTGCATCTGTGTTCCTCTGGAATGGCAAACTGATGAAATTGTCAAGGATGGAGCTAAAGAGTGTTGATTCCTATATTTTCTAGAATATGGAGTCAACAAGACTTAAGGCGTCACGTTGAACATTTTGGATCTATCTTAAATGCCTGAGAAAATAAGGAGTATATTCAGGATTCTGCTGGATGGACTCGATTAACTTAGTTCCCTAAGTGACTTTAGAACTTTTGCTTTATTAGTTTCCCCTCACTCCTATGCTTGGAGGAAGACATTTTTTTTTCAGTTCTACTCGAGAAATAAGATACTTTGGGGACTCAACAAGAAATCTGCCGGGCAGTATGTGTACTTGTATCGTACTAACTAGCTTCAGTAGTAATCACATTGAAATAAGCGTGGATGAGATGAAATCCTAATCTGATTTAATTGGCAACTCATCAAACCCAACTTCTTAGCATAGAAGAGCAGCTTGTGATTGCGGTGAGAAAACATAACTTGTTCTCCTGAACACTTGATTGTTCTCTCTAAAAGTCTTAAGTCTTAATGAAGTGTAGCAGGAGGTAGATTCTTTCTAGTTCCCAACTCGGTGGCTGTGTGCACAGTAGAGTTTGTGGTATATACATTTATATAGTTAACTAAAGGGAGTTCTCCATTAGAGCGTGTCAGAGCATGAGTTTAGACATTTTCAGTAAAGTCTCAAGTTATGGAATCCCATCAGTTATTTTTATGTATAGACTAGTCCTGCTTTGCTTAAAAAGGCACAGTATTTAAGTCCTGAGTTTCATCAGTTCTTTCTCCGGAAATGCTGTTCTTTTCCAATATCTTTTGTAAATCTGATTGTTCTTTTTATGAGTAAATGCTGGAATGGTTCAGGTGGGAGAGCTCTTGGTCTCTCAGGTGAGCACTACGGACTGTCGTCTCTGAAGGCTGTGGGTCTCTGTCAGGATTAATATGCAATTAACCCCGGGGTGGTGGGAGGGATATTTAAAGTCTGTTTTGGTGGGAGTCATTTTATATTTGAAGTCTAACCTGAAACGTCTTCACTGGTCCCCAGCATCATGACACTTTCTGTGTAACAGCAGTGAACTGCCAGGAAGCAGCAATGATGGGCAATATTGTTTCAGTGCCTGGTGACCAAACCATATAAGCTATTAGCATTATGAAGAAGACATTGGAATATGCAGTGTCTAGGTACCCTAATTGGTATAGAAAAACTGGGAAAATGACTGATGTAACAATTTTAGAAATGGAGTCTGGGGCCATGTATGGACAGTAAAAGGATCAGGTAAAGAGACTCACATTTCAAGATTCAAGAGACAGTTTGGGATGCTGTACAAGAACAGCAAGAGGCACTTGCATATAGAAGCAACATTCTAGATTCTCTGTTCCAGGGTCAAGCTAAATTTGTTGCCAGGTGGAGTGTCTGGGTACCAGACAGGAGCAGTGCCAGGGGGATGAGTGAATCTGCATCAGGAAGCCGAGCGGGCGTCTGTGTGCGCTGAGAGGTACAGCTACAGGGAGTCAAGGACGGCTCTGAAGCCGTCAAGGGATTTGCTCCTTGCCCAGGTGCTGCTGTTGGTGGGTGATGGCTCCAGAGTGAGGGAAGCGGGACAGTCTGGTGTAAACACTGTAAAAATTCACTTGGGTGCAGTCATTTTGACCGAGGAAAATTTCACAGCAGAGTTTTGGTGAAGCCACATCAAAATGAGTCTGTAAAAATACACAAATTCTGGCTTTTTATTACCAAAAGATGTTCCTTCTACTCACTCTCTCCCTGTTCCATGCCTTCCATACAGGAAAAATTGCACTTTCTCCTTTGCTAATTGTTCTATTTTTAAACTTTTCATAACTATGTTTCGTATGTATTTTAAGTGTTCAACGTGTTTTAAATTACAGAAGTAAGATATACTCCTGGAGGCAAATAAAAACTATGAAAATGTATAAAGTAATATATATGCAGTAAGGAAGTGAAAATTCTCTGATCCCCTCTGTTCCCACCTCCCAGAGTTAGCGCCCATTAATAAATTTATTACATCAATCCTTAAATAGTCAGGGTAAATTTCTTGTACAGCAGTGAAAAACAAAGTTTTATTTAAGTTTTCAGGAGATGATAACCCAGTAGTCGGGTCTCTAGTAAGATGTTCGGCTGCAACAGCATATAAAAACAATTAAAATGAGATTGAAATTTTGGCTGATGCACTGAGATAAGACACGCTGTTCTTCAAAGCGAGGTTAGAAAAATCTTGAGGCAACATTTCAAAGGAAGTGTCAAAAATCAATTTTACTGTTTTTAAAATCTTCACCTCTATCAAAAAATATGAAAAGTTTAGGAGAGTTTAAGACTAAGAGGAAGATTTTGAGAAAGAAGTATGTGGATCCTGTAACTCTCCTAACCCATAGTGGGCAGGATGGCGATGTCTACCCGTTCACACTCAGTCAAGAGAAAAGGACCTTGGAAGACCGTTTGAGTGTCGGATATCTGCTGGGCATAGTAGATGGGGGTCTGACCCTTGCTTAAGAATCCAGTAGGGGAGGGATCAAGTTTGAAACATTGGATAAAGAAGTAGATGTAACTCCTAGATGACTTGGAGTTAGGAAATGCAATGCTTCTTCTTGAAGTGATACAAAAATTAATAATTTCATAATGAATAATATCACATTCATTGCCTAGAAATTAAATACAGAAATTTTTTATTTCTGTATTTAATTTCTTTATTTTTCATTTTAATCTTTTAATTTTTTTGCTTCCTGACTCCTCCATGTATCTTATCTTTTGACTGTTTCTCTGAGGTAAATCTCTTAATAGGGAAAAGACGTATGTGGTTTTGAAAATTCACCTTAAAAAGGAATTTTTGATATGTGAGACTTAACACTCTTAGTTTTGTTTGAAAATGTAACATTTACATTCCGGGGTAAAATGAAAAAAGTGTATGCAAGTACCCAAGGACACTCAAAAAATTTTAAGTATAATGCCATTTTGTACCAGATAATTTTTGTTTTCCATGAAATTTACATACGTAGTTTGAAGAAAAAAAATGTCA